AGCCTTCCTTACTCATCTTGCATTGTTTGTGTTTGAAATCCTGATTTATGTACGGCAGCAGTAAATATAAGAACCCCATTCCCAATCCTGCCTCCTAGAGGGATCCACATTTAACTACTATGTTTGATTTCTTCTTCTGAGGCTACTGAGGGACATTTTCTGTTCTGTGATTTCTTTGTTGTGGACCTTGCATCTTGGTTTTGTCAAGTTAAAGTTTTATCCTAATCAAATCGATTTTTTTTTTTTTTTTGCCACAAAGACAATGACAAGGCTTATGGAAGAGCCCTATATGGTCTCACTGCTCTCCACATTCAATTTATGCTCCCCACAGCTAACTACTTGCAATCCTTAAAGCTTTTGGGTTCTTCTTTTTATCCCTTATATTCTTGAGTTTAATATTGATATGTGGGCTTTTCTTGAGTATTTGTGTATTTTCCTCTAAACATACAGGTTCCATCACTTTGGAAACTCAAGTTCTTGAATTCTGCAATTCTCTGCTTTTCATTTGTTTGCAAAATTTCTAAATTTCTCAGTTACCTCTTCCAGAGGTTATACTTGGTGCATGTTTACCCATATTGATTCTCTCATTTCCTACATATTACTTTTTCTACTTTCTTTCAATTTTGCTTTGATCTGAGATGTCTTCAGTTTTATCTTTCTAAACATTTATTGATTTAAAAATTTTTGCTTTTATGTTTTTAACTTCTAAGGAGTCCTTTTTTGTTTGATGAATTTTTTTTTTTAACACTTTGTCTTTCTGTTCTGTTTCTATTATTTTGTCTAAATATTTTGGTTTCTGAGAGTGTGTGGCTTGGCTATTCATTCTGTATGATCTATTAGCACGTAAAACTGGTGCCTTTAGAGTTACTGAAATGGTGTGCGTTGAGGCCAGGCCTGTCAGGATGAGGGCTTTCATTTAGAGTAATCGATTCGGGCTATTTCACTGATGGGTAAACCGGTTGACTTCATAGATCTTTTTTTGTGGATTGGTCAGTTTCCTCTAATAAAAATTGCCCACCTTTTGTGTAGGATTGTGTATGTGTGTGTATATATGTCTGTGTGTGTGTGTGTGTGTGTGTGTGTGTGTGTGTGTACATACTAAGCCAGGCTGTCAAGAGTGTAGGAGCCAACTAAAGGTGAGGGATCTCATATATGTTAAGTATGACTCCACCCAGTTTTCCTGTTTCTGTTGATTGTCCCTTAGCTCTGCTGCCATTCCCAAGTCTTGATATTGTCAGAGTTTAGCTGTTTAGCCAACTGCTAGCAGAGACAGATGCTGTCATCTGACTGTGCCAGCTAAGACATGACCTGGAGGAGGAGTTTTACAGTTTCCTAGACAGACTTTAAAACACTGCCTCTCTGTGCAAGACTTATCCTTCCACACCTTTGTCACAGGTGCCACCTCTCCTATCGGGGGGAACATTCATTCAACTTGCCATTTCTGCATGTACCGGGGCATTAGTTAAAATAGCAGTCCTTGAAATATTGTTCAAGGGTCTCTGGGCATCTGAAAAGTTTGAATATTTTTAAATGCTAACACCAAGATATTATATAGCCCCTTCACTGTCACTCCCCTATATGCACACAAGGGAATTTTCCTAAGATAAGAGCTGTGGTATCACTGAACACAGAAGCACAAAGAGAATCCAGTGTTCTTCTGTTAAAGAAGACGTTACAGAAGTTTGAAAAAAAATGTACAACAGGAATGCTTCTCTCATTGTATATTTTTATTTAGAAAATTCAATTATTTTTCATAGAGTATATTATTCATGTTAGCCTACACTGGATTTATTAGTATTATTTAAATGAATTCATAAATACATAGTAAAAGGTGTAAGTTTTAGTTAATATTGATTGGTGTGGCTTGGATTTTAAATGCTCCTCCAAAACTCATGGCAAAGGCTTGGCTGGCAGCCCATAGTGCTTTTGGAAGGTGACAGAGTCCTTGGGTTGTGAGGATCAGGAAAGGAAGGTCAGGTCATGGAGTACATCTGTGAAGGGACATTGGGACTCTGGTTCCTTCCTGTGTCTGCCTCTTGGCCACCATAAGATGAACAACTTTGCTCCTCCACATGCCCCTGCTCCACTACAGGCCCCAAAGCTCTGGGTCAATGACCACTGACAAAAGTCTCTGACACCATGAGCCAAAATAAACCCTTCTTCTTTACAAGTTAGCTGTTCTAGGTGTATTGTCCCAGTGATAGAAGCTGACACATTGGTATACATACAATACTAACATGAACAGAAGCTCTCTGAGGTCCGCAATAACGTTGAATAATATAGAAGAGTCTTCACACTTAAAAGACAGAAAAAAACACGTGAGAATAACACTTCTGAAATCTTTTTAAAAAATTTTATGGAGAAACAAATAGCAGTGAGACAGTTTCAAAGCCGATTAGTAGGACAGTTTCACTAATTAGTACATTGCATATTGTTGTCTTCATAATAGTTATTCATAGTACAAGAGGCAGACATTATATCCTGTTCAGACACTATTAGTACAAATCGTTCTTCTCATTAAGAGAAAGTAGCTGTATATCTATCCTATTTTCTATATACATATACAAAATGGTTCTCTATTTATGTCTCCTTTTTTTGTTTAGTTTTGTTGGAGATGGACAGTTCATTGTTCTACCTTCTTGACTCATCCTCAGTCTGCAAGAAGTGACCTGACTAGAGAGAGTGGGACACGAATGGAGAGGGGATAGCTCAGCTCCTTCCTGTCACCCTACTTTCAGACTGAAGACATGCTTGCCTGGGGGAGGCATGTGTTCTTAGCAGCTCTTTGTCTGTTGTCCACCAAAAACTTGCTCTCTTTTGGAGCGGGGACTTGAGTCAGCCCATCAAGGCTTGCAGTTATGATTCAGTGAAGCTTTTTAATTCAGGGATGCAGTTGGCACATGTATCTAATTCCTGCAGAATAAGCTGTGTTTTCTAACATCAGCTCTATCAGTAATCAGGGAGATCTTTGACTTTTATAAATTGTTTTATTTTGGAAATGCTTTCAGGCTTATGGAAATGTTGCAAAAATAGTAGGAAGCTTCCAGGGCTTTAGTTGCAGACTTCAGCTGCGTCCTTGATCCCTTTAGTACCACCGCTTCCAGCTCTTTGGAAAAGCAGCCGCTGGATCCTCTGGCCCTGCAGCGTGCAGACGCTGTAGACTCCCACTTCAGATCCTGTAATCCTATCTAATTAATCTCTTTGCATAACTATATATAATTGATTTAGTTCCTCTAGAGAGCCCTAACTAATACACACAGCTGCCCCTAATATTAACATCTTCTATCATTACAGTATCGAGACAGGAAACATGAGATTCAGAATATGTTAAAATTAACCAATCTGTGGAACTGATTTGAATTTCATTAGTTTTTCCATGTGATCCAGGATCTAATCCAGGATTCCACATTGAGGGGTAAGCTTTGGCCTCCCATTGTCTGGCTCCCTTGCCCATGTCATACTTGGCATACATGAATCTAAGGAAAAAGGAGGGTGCTATTAGCCTTCCCTGCCTCAACATCTCTAACTCTTCAATTTTCTGGAATCCACAATGTGAGGAGCTCAGTTCCTCCTGCCTTCCTCCCCAAATGCTCCACTATGGTAGTGTCAAGCTTTCTCTCTTGGAGTAGTTTGGTTCCCAAAGCATACCTGTCTTTCACCTTCTGTGTTTTGTCAATTCTGCTCTTTTCTGCACTCTTGCTTTCTGTGATTTGCTTCCTAGAGACTTCTGTTTTCTGCCCCCCGCAACCTAGAACAAGTTGCTGAGCCTGACCCATGCTCCAACAGCTTGGGATTTAGTGTAATTTAAAAATTCCTTTACTATTAATATTGCTTGGATTTCAGAAAAGAGCAGAGATAAATGAACAGATTTAATCTCCTTGTTTAATTAGAAATCTGGTCCCTCGTGTATAATCCTCTATTCATAAATTATTTTTGCTTTTCAGTTGAGAACCTTAAATACCTTTATGACTATTGTACTTAAATGGTTTTTTGTAGTCACTTTTAAAGCAAATAAAGATTATGGAAAAACTGGGTAGCTTTTCCCTAATTTTGCAGGTTCATTATCAATTTATTATAA